CATTGTTCTCGGGATTCTAACGCCACGGGTAAACCTGGTTGTTGCGTCCTGACGAGCCGGAATCGTGTCAGAACGTCCATGCTGGGACTTCGACGCCGCGGATCAACATATCTGTTGCGCCCTCATAATCTTGAATCTTTCCAACGCGCAATTTCTGGTACGCTGATCATGAGAATCCTTGAAACTCTGGCAAATGTCTAAAGACGAGCGTGCGCGGCGCTAAGGCGAGAGACACATTTTGAAACGGAGCCGCCCCCAATCCGTGAAACTCCGACAACTTGTCAAAACGATTTTGCGCGGTGTTAAGGCGAGAGCGACATTTTGAAAACGGGTCGCCCTCAATCCGTCAAGCTCTTGCAAATTTTGTAAAACGAATGCGCGCGGCGCTGAGGCGAGAGCCACAGTTTGAAACGGGTCGCTCTCAATCCTTGAAGCTCTTGTGAATTTGTAGAACGAGATTGCGCGGCGCTTAGGAAAGAGCCACAGCTTGAAAACGGGTCGCTCCCAATCTTTGACACTCTTTGCAAACTTGTGGAACGAGTGTGCGCGGCGCTAAGGCGAGAGCCACATTTTGAAAACGACCCGCCCTCCATCTGTGAAGCTGTTGTTAATTGTCAAGCTTCAGGGTAATAAGCGATGAGGGAGTCTCTGGCGAAACGTCCGGCCCGCCATAAAAACTTGCCTCGGGGTGCCATAGGGAGAAGCTATGTATAAGGAAAAGGAGTGGTGGAGAAAGGAGGAGGAGGAGGAGGAGGAGGAGAAAGGAGGAGGAGGAGGAGGGGGAGGAGGAGGGGGAGGAGCCTCCCTCGGGAGTGTAGAAAGGACAGCTTGGCCCACCTCCGGACATGAGGGACCACGGCCTCCCGGAGGCTACTGGGAGGCTCCCGCCGCCGGGCGACCGCGGGCCCGCGGCCGGGAACGCTCGCGCACAGCGGTGCGCAGCGGCAGGCTCGAGGCTCGGGGCTCTGACGTCGAGTCGTCGCCACGGGCAGGCTCGCTCCGAAGCCCTGGTCGGGCGGGGCCGTGGGGGCCAGGGATCGGTGCCGATGGCCCCCCCCCCCTGCCCGGGCCTGGAGGGCGTGCCCGCCGAGCCTGGCCCCACGAGGGGTCTGGCCAGGACCGGTGCGCAGGTGCTCCGGTGGCGCCCCCCGTGGAGGAGGACGCGGACGGGCCGCTTCGGGGCGCCGCGGGAAGCCTGGCGACCTCTTGGAATACGCAGGGCGGAGGTTTTCAGTCGTCTGCGGCTTGCGGGCGGCTCCCGCCGGGCCCCGGGGCCGTCAGGAAAGGACTCGGGATCGCAAAGGGTCGAGACTTCGGGGACACAGTTGTGGTTAACCTTCGGATGTCTGGGAGGGGGGTGGGTGGGTCTGGGCCTTCCAGATGGGGTCCGAGTAATTAGATAAGGGGTCGAAGGATCGCGTCGCATCGCTGATGCATCGCCGATACGTCGCCGATGCATGGCCGATACAACGCCGATGCATCGGCGACGTTTGCGATGCATCGGCGACGGCGCCGTGGAGAAAGTCGGGCTCCACATTGAGCTGCATCGCCCATGCGACCCTCTGACCCCATCTACTCGGACCCCATCTAGGAGGCCTCTAGTTTGACAGGGAGGATCTGAGATCCGCTGCGTGCAGCTGGTTTCAGCTCCGCTGCGAGGCCCTCCCTCAACACGCTGTCGCCCCCAGCGCTGTAAAGACCGGCTGCGCGCTGCTGGTTTGCCCAGCTCTATCCCCACCTTTCGTCCTGCCCGGTAAGCGCCTCCGTGCCACTGGCTTCCTCCACCGCCTTCCCAAGATGGGGTCGGAGTGAATCGGATCGGAGGACTCGGGCGCATCGCCGATGCATCGGCGAACCGGTCTGATGTGGAGCCCGATGCTCTCCACGCCAGCGACGCCGATGCGTCAACGACGTCGCTGGCGTATCGCCGAGACATCGGCGATGCATCGGCGACGCGGCGCTATCCTCCGACTCCATCTATGCTGACCCCATCCTGGAGGCCTCTGCTTCGGTAGCAAATCATGGGAGCCTGGTGTACCGTCTCAATTCCGTCTTTAGTGTCGACTAGCGCCGGTTAGCGTCTGGGAATGGGTGAGGTAGCGCCGGTTTAGCGTCGGCTAGCGTCGGTTAGCGTAGATTTAGCGTCGATTAGCGTCGACTAGCGTCGAGCAGCGTCGATTCGCAAGAGCCGACAGGATGGTATGGGAGGCTCCCATGAGTTGCCACCGAACTCTGCTCCTGGCGACGGTCAGGACTCGAAACTTATTTGAGGTTCGAGGGCCGAGGCCGTTTCGGAGGCGCTCGATGTTCCCTCCATGGCCGCCGAGGGGCTGCTCGCCGCCGCGGCGGGGCGTCCACACTTGCGCACGCATCGGGACGCTGGAAACCGCCCACACCGAGCGTTTGGATGGCGATCATATTATTTGTTTTGCGGAAGTCTCAGGCGGAATCACATTTTCAGACGCTGACCCCATTTGGCCGTTATGATATTCAAAGGGGTGAGAGATGCATCTGCAATTCCCGACTCGGCCCCGAGTCCAACATTGTCCTGGGCCCTGGTAATGGTTCGGCCACTTAGAAAGCCCGAATTGGACCACCATTACCGAGATCGGGAGTACTTTCTTCGGTGATGGCACACCGCCGATCTTGGTGTTGGTGCCAACCTCTAGGCATCCGGCAGCTGTCTCCACTTCCGAGAGCTTGGGCTATCACAGAGCGTCTCGGGGTGAGAAGCTTGCCCCAGGAAGGGCGTTCAGAGGGGCCGAGGCCCAGCCCTGACCACAGCTCTCCGCCCCCCCCTCCTCTCTCGGTGGTGGCGGTCCTCTGCGGGTGCTCTCCTGACTCGTACACTGGCCAGTGGGTAGAATAACGGATAAATCGGGCATGTCCCTCTACAGGGGGAATATCCAATAATAGTAGAGCAAGCATGATGGCGATTGCTTCGTGCTCTTTGACTATGTTTGATCCGTGTGTTGCTTCGGTTCTTCAGAGCCCGCATGTACGAGAACATACCCGACCTAATCCTAGGGCGTACGTAAAGCAGCCGAGACGCTATAACGCGAGGACCGCTCTGGGCTCGGGAGGGGCTCTGGTTCTCAGTTCGCTCCCTGGGTTTGGGCCAGAGGGGGGGCGATGATTTTGTGACCGAGGCTTGCTGTTGCCAGAAGAGCCCCCCTCGTTCCTGATTCAGCGTTCCCCGTGGCAGCACGGTGACTGCAGACTCCTGCAGCGTAAGGCCACAGTGACTATGGCGTCTGGCTGCGCGAGAATCCCAGGGCGCTTGTAGCAGACTCGCCTCTTCTACAAACACACCGCGGGTCATAAGCTTCTTTCCGTCCAGGAGGCGCTGTCTGAGAAGACGCCCCTCCTGCGAACCAGGGAGAGGGTGAGGAGGAGGAGGAGGAGGAGGAGGAGGAGGAGGAGGACGACGAGGGCCGCCGATACCACAGCTGGGCCTCCTCCGACTTGGCTTGCTTTGGCATGAGGACTCGCCAGGGTCACGGCAGGTTGGGCGACAGGTGGGGAGAGGTTCAGGGGAAGGGAGCGTCGTCCCCAGGTCGGCCGCTCATCGCCGATACCCCACGTGGGGCATGTGGGGCGTTCCAGCGAAGGATTCTTCTTCAGCTCACTTCGCCTCGCATTCGGCGCAACGCGCTTTCGGCGGAAGCTGGCGGAATTAACAGCACGTCGGCTCCGCAGCTGGAAGGTCGGCGGAAGCAAGCGTGAGACGCCAGGGTTCACATGGTGTTCGCAGTCGGCCAGGACGCCTGCGCACCCCTCCACCGCAGCCGCCTCGGCTCAGTCCGTATTGCCGTTGACTCGGGCAGCTCTGCCTCGAGCGACCCCACCCACTCTCCACACCGAACTCTTCGCAGGCCGCCACCGCCTCTGCCTGCCCGCGGACCGCAGCCCGCCCACCAGCACTTCGTGCGCACGCGCGCCGAGGTCGCTTACCGCAGCGGCCGCGCGCGCGCACCGCGGCCGTCCTCGGCGCGGCGGGTCGCCATGCGTGCGCTGCTCGCGCCTGCGCTGCTCGCTGTGTGCGCCGCACTCTCGCACGACAGCAGGCTTTCGCCAAAGCAGGCCGGGTCGGTGGACGAGCAGAGCCGCCAGGGCGCCGCCGTGGACGCGGGCTCGGGCTCGTCGGCGCAGCAGGCCGTCGTCCTGAACGAGCAGAGCCACCAGAGCGCTGGCCTGGACGCGATCTCGGGCTCGTCGGCGCAGCAGGCCGTCATCCTGGACGAGCAGAGCCGCGAGAGCTTTGTCCTGGAAGCGAGCTCTCGGTCGTCGGAGCAGCAGGCCGTCATCCTGGACGAGCAGAGCCGCCAGAGCTCCAGCATGGCCTCGAGCTCGGGGTCGTCGGCGCAGCAGGCCGTCGTCATGGACGAGCAGAGCCGACAGAGCGCCGCCGCGGAAGCCAGTTCGGGCTCGGCGGCGCAGCAGGCCGTCGTCCTGAACGAGCAGAGCCACCAGAGCACCGTCCTCACAGCCAGCTTGGATTCGGCGGCGCAGCAGGCCGTGATGGTGGATGATCAGAGCCACGAGATCGTTGGCCTGGACGCGGGCTCGAGGTCGTCGGCGCAGCAGGCCGTTATCCTGGACGAGCAGAGCCGCCAGAGCGCAGGCCTTGGTTTGAGCTCGGGGTCGTCGGCGCAGCAGGCCTTGTTGGTGGATGATCAGAGCCGCGAGATCGTTGGCCTGGACGCGGGCTCGGGGTCGTCGGCGCAGCAGGCCGTTATCCTGGACGAGCAGAGCCGCCAGAGCGCAGGCCTGGGTTTGAGTTCGGGGTCGTCGGCGCAGCAGGCCGCCATCCTGGACGATCACATCCGCCAGAGCGCTGCCGAGGCCTCGAGCTCGGGGTCGTCGGCGCAGCAGGCCGTCATCCTGGACGAGCAGAGCCGCCAGGGCGCCGCCGTGGAAGCCAGTACAGGCTCGGCGGCGCAGCAGGCCGTCATCCTGGACGAGCAGGGCCACCAGAGCACCGTCCTCACAGCCAACTTGGATTCGGCGGCGCAGCAGGCCGTGATGGTGGACAAGCAGAGCCATCAGGGTGCCGACCTGGACGCAAGGTCTGGGCCGTCGGCGCAGCAGGCCGTCATTCTGGACGAGCATTTGAGCTCGGGGTCGTCGGCGCAGCAGGCCGTGTTGGCGAATGATCAGAGCCGCGAGATCGTTGGCCTGGACGCGGGCTCGGGGTCGTCGGCGCAGCAGGCCGTCATCCTGGACGAGCAGAGCCGCCAGAGCGCTGCCGAGGCCTCAAGCTCAGGGTCGTCGGCGGAGCAGGCCGTCATCCTGGACGAGCAGAGCCGCCAGAGCTCCAGCATGGCCTCGAGCTCGGGGTCGTCGGCGCAGCAGGCCGTCATCATGGACGAGCAGAGCCGCCAGACCGCCGTCCTGGAAGCGAGCTCGGGGTCGTCGGCGCAGCAGGCCGCCGTTCTGGACGTGCATCGCGGGCAGGAAGCCGCCTTGCAGGCGAGTTCGGGGTCGTCGGCGCAGCAGGCCGTCAATCTGGACGAGCAGAGACGCGAGGGTGCCGCCCTGGACGCAAGCTCGGACTCGTCATCACGCATGGCCGCCGTTGTCCACGCGCAGTTCCGCGAGATCTCCGCCCTGAATGCTAGTGTGGAGCTCAGGATCGCACAGATGGAGCAGGACTGGAAGCTCAGGATCAAGCAGCTGGAGGAGAAGCTCTGGCAGGTGCAGCAGGAGAAGCGGGACGTCGCCGCGGCCGAGGAGAGGTCGGAGCGACGGCTCGCGCTTCTCGAGAGCAAGCTCGCGAAGATGGAGCTCAAGGTGCAGCCCAGCCTGGAGCGCCGCCTCACCCAGGTGGAGGAGGCCGCGAGGGCCGAGGCGCAGCGTCGGGCCTCGCAGGAGCAGGAGACTTCCCCGACGGCCGAGGAGGAGTTCAGCAGACAGCAGCGCTCGCGCGAAAGCCTCGAGGAGTCGCGGCTGATCTACGAGCAGTCCTGGGCGATGGGCGACCTCAAGGCGGCCCACAGCGCCATCGACCGCGTGGTGCTGCCGCTCATGGCCAGGAGATCATTCTATTATTTGTTGTTTTGCCGATCGGCGCGGGCCCTCGCACCCCCTTCCACCCCCATTGGAGTAGGTCTTGGCTGTCTTTGGCGCCTGTTTCAGGCAGGTGGAGTCTCCCCCGTAGGACGCGCTGTTGCAAACAGTCGCGTTAAGCAGAGGTCTGGATCCCGATGCCCCACCTTCCCCCAGGAGGAGGAGGAGGCGGAGGAGGAGGAGGCGGAGGAGGAGGAGGAGGCGGAGGAGGAGGAGGAGGAGCTTTTCGCCCGATGCCGAAACGCCGAATTAAGAAGACGTTCGCCAGGGAGAAGGTCTACCAGAGCCGGCGCCAGGAGATCGAGGCCGAGACTCGCCGCAGGCTCCTGGAGGAGGCCGAGGGGCTCTGCGACGCCGACGGCGACAGGCTGGACGGGGAGCAGCTGCGGGAGGTGCTCGACGTGCCCGAGGCTTATGATGCTCCAACCTACTTTAGCCTCGATCACCAGAAAGAAATTTGAGCACCAGGAAAAGTACCGGAACTGGAGGGTTTTCGCGCGTCGGGCCCTGGGAGACGCCCGTCCGACACTGTTTCGACACTCTTTCGACGCTTTTCCGGGTGCTCGAACATATTTCTGGTATGTGGTCCTTAAGTACGATGGGCGCAACATAACCCGAGGCCAAGCTGGCCCACCTGGCCGCCGAGGTTAACAGAGGAGGAAAGGGTACCCATGCCGCTACCTGTTACCCGTTTTGCACCACCTCCTTGGGCCTCCTGGGCGGCCCTCGTCGCCGCCGCTGCATTTGCTTCGAAACTCTGGTCGGAACGCACCTCGGGAGAGGTCCAGTGAGTAACGGTATCGGTACCTTTTGGTTTCCCCAGAGGTCGCGCAGGTCGCCGCTCCAGCGGCCACCGGCGACGCGGTCGACCACACGGGCCTCCGGTGGCAGGAGCGCCTGGAGGGCTTCCGCCAGAAGTCCGCCGCCGAGTCCGCGCACGTGCTGGAGTCCATCGTGCACAAGATCGGGGTGCTGTCGGACATCCAGGGCGACTACGACGACCGCATGTTCCTGGAGATGCTGGCCCGCTTCCTCAACGACACCAGAGACGAGACCCAGCACATGCACGAGACGAACGCTCTCATCCACAAGAGGCTCCAGGAGAATTACGGGAAGTACAACACCGAGTACTTGTCCAGCACACTCCTGCAGGCCATCAGCGGCGTCACTGAGAACGTAGAGTTCAAGAACCACTTGCTTCACATGGATACCTACGCCCTGTCCCACACCACCCCGGGCGAGGAGATGGTGCAGGGCTGCCAGGAGATGGAGCGTGTATTCGCCTCTCACATCTTGCCCTTCTTCCAAGGCGTCGGCCACATGAGGGGTACCCTCGACAACTTGACCAAGGTCGTCCCGAGCATGCTGTCCACCGCGGGCCAGAAGCGCTCTCTGGCCATGATGCGGAACCGCACCAAGGGCATGCTGAGCATGGCTTACGCCCAGCAGATCGCCCTGAGGGGGGTGTCCAACGCGATTATGCACGACGCCATACCAGTCTTGGTAGAGAGGCTCCACTGCAATTTCACTGACCCCAGCAGCTCAGCAGCGCGCACGAGCTCGCCGAGCTCGCCCCGCACGCTCCTTTCGCGCATCTGGTCGCGACGGCAGTAGTGCGAAGGGCGCTGCGAGGCGAGAGGCGCTGCTGCTCGTCGAGCAGCCTTCGCTTCGCCCGTTGGGTCCGTCCAGGCTCTTTTGACCCCTGTGCCCTCCGCCTCCTGCCGCCCTGCTCGCGTGCAAGCGACACCTTTCTGCGACAGGCGAGCAGGAACACACGGATTACATGCTCGCAATGGGGATGGGCCACGGGTGTGAGAGGGAGGCGCGGCGTCTCGTCGGGCACGGCCCCCTTGCGGTTGACCCTTGGTGCGGTGCCGAGGGGCCCAAGTTCGAGAGCTAAGAGGATCAGAAACATGTGCGTTGACACTCTTTTGGGGCGCTGACTTCGGCCTGGGGATGGTCCACAATGGTTGCTTGGTGTGTCCTGAATGCGGTGCTGCTTCATGTTCACGTCGAGATGGTTCGGCGACAGCGGGTCAACATATACGTACATAGTGTCACATAGTTACACACATAGGGTGGGGACGTTCGTTAAGGAACATGCCCAGGAGGCCTCAGAACCTGGAGGGTTCCTTATCTGATGAGGGCGGCGGTGACATACATACATACATACATACATACATGCATGCATGCATACATACATACATACATAAATACATACATACCTACATACCTACATACCTACATGCCTACATACCTACACACATACACACATACACACACACATACATACATACATACATACATACATACATACATACATACATACATACATACCTACAAACATACATGCATACATACATACGTACGTACGTACGTACGTGCATGCATGCATGCATGCATGCATGCATACATACATACATACACACATACACACATACATACACACATACATACGTACATACACACATACATACACACATGCACACATACACACATACATACACATGCAGGCATCCAGCCATACAGTTTTGGCTACATGCGTATACATACATGCATGCATGCATACTTATACAGTCGAGCAGTTGATTAAGTCACCTTCTCCCGAAAAGCTGGGCCAGCGTGACGTAACCTGATTGCCAGACAGTTGGCGCAGTTTCTTGAGCACGGTCGCCACTTAATTATGAAAGGCAGCAAATTGGCCCAGGCTTGTTTTAAGAAACCTCGGGGAAGTTGGCCCAGACTTCTTGAACGATTGTTGTCTTGATCGTACCATCGGCTGTACATACATATGTGTACATGTTTAAGGTCAGCGTGTGTGTTCGCGAGTGTGGACCCCAAACAATAGGCCATTGCATCTTGATGGGGCATTACTTGCACTAAAGATATGGCAAGCATTATGCCTATGATGCAGCTTACGTGATTAAAGCGACGTGGTGATAGTTATTTGGTGCAAGCGATGGTTGTCTTTCTTGTGGTGCGAGGTACGTGGCGCGAGCCAGGTGGCGAAAACAGTGTGAAGCAAGCAATGTGATGCAACCAGAGTAGTGCAAGCTTTGTGTGGCAAGCCAGGTGCCGCAAACTATGTGATGCATCGTCCTGTGTGCACGGGGCACAATATGTGGTGCATGCACTGCCTTGCACTATATGTGGTGCACGCTATTTGGTGCAAGCTATGTTATGCCAGGACTGCGGTGAAAGCTGTGTGGTACGAGCTATGTGGCGCATCGATCGCACGGGGCGCGCACGAGGTGACCAACCAGGGACCAGGCCAAACCCTGGCACAGCCGTCCAAGCACTTTGTGCAAATACTGCTGTGAACATATGCACAGGCCATGGCCGTTGTTCGGCCATCCCCGCCCGGGCTACTTGAGAGGAAAGCCGACTAACGTATGTTTGCTGAAGGAGTCAGCGGAAGCCCAGCATACAGTACGCACGGCCGGACGCCGCACGCGACTGGGCTGTGGCTGCCGAGCGACCTAGCGACCCTCTGGGAGTCCAACGAACTCGCAGTCCCCGGGCAATGCGGAGGATGAAGGGGGAGGCCAATGAGGAAAAGGAGGACGGGGTCGGAGTAGTTGGAGGAGGACAAGGACGGGCATAGGTTAGGAGCAGGAGGGAGAGGAGCGGGGAAGGCGAGGAGGCGAGTGGAGGATAAGGAGGAGGAGGACACTTCCACCGCCAAAGCCGCCACGCAGGCGACTCTGCCAGGGACCGTTTTTCATCCCGAGTCGGAACTTCAGTGTCCCCAGGCCCGGCCAGGGCCCCCGAAGGTTTAGGAATACCCCAAAACCGTCCGTCGCGATGTTTTTTCCACGACCTGAGAGGGCCTGAGTCCTCCTCGACCCCCCCGACTGTCGGTCCTCGGCTACGCGTACCCCTCGCCAAAGTGATGTTTGGCTCTAGGCCTCCTGGATAGGATCGCGCCGTCTCGCCGATGCATCGGCGATGCGGCTCGATGGGGAGCCCGATTTTCTTTATGCGGACGTCGCCGATGCATTGCTGGTGCATCGCTGATGCATCGCCGATGCATTGCCGATGTATCGCCGATGCGGCGCGATCCTCGGACGCCATCTACTCCGATCCCATCTAGGAGGCCTCTATCGTACCCCTCGGCAGAGTGACGTCAGGTGCGGGCCCACAGGGGCGCCCAGCTTTGGATGTCGCGCTTGGATTCTGCCCTCCCCCCCTCCCCCGCGGCCAGCGAAGTCCACTCTTGCCCAGGGTCACTCTTGCGCGTCTAGCCTAGATCCGATAATGTCGAGACGACAGCTACGAGATGGTCCAGAAAAGCCCCGCTGAGAGTCTCAAGCCTCGATCCTCGAACCCAGAGGCTCGATTTCTTGTACTTGTGTTCCATGAGGGGTCCCGGGATGACTCGACCCTTTCCCCAGGGCTGGCGTTTCACCCCCAGCCGTTTCTTGATGACCCCGGGGCCTGGCGAGGGCCCCCATGCGTCCGAGCATTGCAAATCATATCAGGCTTGACGTTTGCAAGACGTTCGGCCGCCCTCGCCTTCTTTCCTCCTCTTGCACGCCGGACAATTCGCCCTTCGATTGCCCTGATCACCCTCACGCTGGCGTGGACTGCCTCTGCCTCGCCGCCGGCGAAACAAGTGTGCAAGACGTTGGATGTCAGGGTCCTGGGGATCGATGTTCGACCCCCAGACCTTTCCTTGGGTGCGTTCTGACCGAGATCTCGAGGCAAAGCCAGCCGTGGCGACGAGAAGCCCCCTCGGACACCCAAAACGCCTCGATGCTCGAAGCTCGACGTTCGAGCCTCGATCCTCGACCCTCATCCTCGATCCCCCTTCCGATCCTCGGTCCGATCCCACTCCGGCTCCGCAGTTGTCCCTAAGGCGTGAGACAGGTTTCGGATGGCACATCCATCTGCAACGCGCTGGGGTGGCCGCGGCGCCCGACACATCCTCCAGTCCCGCCAGCTCTCGGAGTTCCACGGTTTACCGCGACCATGTCCTCCATCCCCGATTCAGGATCTCGACCGAGCCTCGATCCTCGATCCTCATCCGAATTTGTCCTCGATCAAGGATCTCGATCGAGGCTCGAGCCTCAAGCCTCGCCCGAACTGTCATTGATCCTCCAGATGCATGGTAGCCCAAGCGTGTGTTCTGTCCAATCTGGCTCCGCCGCTATCGCGCAGCTTTTGTCGGCTCTCGTTGCGCCGCCTGGGTCTTATCTTATTGAATGGCCCCTGTGGACAGGCACACGCTGGCGCTACAGTCAACCCGCACAGTAAGGACGGGCCACCTTCCCAAGGGCACGGTAGGTTCATGCGGCATTGGCGCGCTGGCGACGTTGGCGAAAGCGTTCAAGGTTGAAGTATGTGACGCAGAAGCACAGAAGGACACGGTCACGCCACTGGACCCGACGGAGTTCATCCTTGAACGATCGGGGCCGCGATCGATCCAAGGTTGAACGATCGGCGCACGGACCATCCGTACCCTTGCGTCCTTGCCCCTTCTGCCCATCCTTCGCGACTCTCGCTGGCCAACCTCCCTCGAAAAAACGCCAACGGGGCCCTCCAAGGCCCCCGCATCCTCACCGCTGATACGGTTGATACGGGTTGACGGTCACCCGCGTTCTGAGGATCATCGAAGCTGGCCCTCGTGCTGCCCGTCGTGCCAAGGCGGCCGAGCTCGCGGCGCTCGCCGCCGCGGGCGGGGCGGCGGCGCCGAGGCCGGCCCCCGACGGGGCGGGGCCGCGCTGGCGGCTGTGCGGGCCGCCGGGCGAGGCGCGGGGGCCTCCGCGGCGACGACCGCCACGACGACGACGGCCGGGAGATCGAGGCTCGAGGATGGTCACCACGAGGGCTCCGTCCTCGACGACGACGACGACGACGACGACGACGACGACGACGACGGCGGCGGCGGCGGCGGCGGCGACGACGGTGGCGGCGACGGTGGCGGCGACGACGGCGACGACGGCGACGACGGCGACGACGACGACGACGACGACAGCGGCCAGGAGATCGAGGATCGAGGATACCGCAAGGGCTTCGTCGTTCTCGCCGACGCCAGCGACGACGATGACGACGACGACGACGACAACGATGACGACGACGGCCAGGAAATCGAGGCTCGAGAACACCGCGAGGGCCTACTACTCCTCGTCGACGACGACGACGACGCCAGAAGAGAAAGGCTCGAGGATACCGCAAAGGCCTCCTCCTTCTCCTTGTCCTCCTCCTCCTCCTCCTCCTCCTCCTCGATGGCGACGACAACGACCAGGAGAGCCAGGATACCCAAGGTCTGCAGTCAAGGCGCTGACATACGGACCCCTCTGGGCTCAGGCAGGCCTCCAATTTTCGGGCTGTGAACCTGTTCGTCGCCGAGGCTCGCCGTGGCCACAAAAGCTACTTCTTTCTGAGTCCTGCGTCTCTCAGGGTAGCACGATGATTGCACCCATATCTCCAACCCTTCGGTTTGGTTTTCGGACGTCTCCGTCCGTCTTATGGTGGGGGTGCTTCTCACTTCGGGAGGCTTTTTCTAGCAGATCGTCCCGATCGGCTGCTGGAGCACCAGTTGCCAACCAAAGTTAGTCTTCGAACCTCCTGAACAAATGGATGATGGGCCGGTTTCCCACCACAACTAGCATAGGTAGGAGAGGGAGGAGGAGGAGAGGGAGGAGGAGGAGGAGGAGGAGGAGGAGGGGGAGGAGGAGGAGGAGGAGGAGGAGGAGGAGGAGGAGGAGGAGGAGGAGGAGGAGGAGGACCTCCCCATCCTCCCTTCTCCCCCGGCCTACATACGGTAGCGGTGGTGGAAAATCGGCCCATCCAATCGATGTGGGGGTTCTTTTTGGGGTGGGCCCCGGGGGGAAGCTGCGGGCCCCCAGGCCGTCAAGGGACGATTCGGGAGGAAGAGCCAGCCCTCGGGACAGGCTCGGGACAT